CAGTCAGTTTGCAGAAAATTCGCTACAGAAATTTCTGTGAGTTTTAGTTATTTCTTACCAGGTGGTCATTTCCAGGTCCTCCAGGACATTTCCTAAACCTATCAGGGATACTTGCCTGGTTAGAGCTTCCTGTGGACTCCTGCAAATATGGATGACCACCCCGCTGCACTCCTCCCACTCTGAGAGTGACCACCTGCTAATGCACAAACTCCATAGATAGATCTGCAGGCGGCGTATGGCTGACGGATGAATGGAGGGACAAAGAGTGCGGCTGCATTTTTAAAGTCTAGAGTAAAGTGTGGATGACAGATGGGTAATTAGTACAAGTGTCTGTCTAATCCATCTGCACTGAGTCGATTCACACACAGGAAGCCACAGAGGTGAAACTTCGGCCACTGCTTGCTGCTAAACGCTCTGGATAAGCTGGGAGGATTTTCTCGCTGCTCTGGGCCTCAACATGCATCTCTGCCTCCCTCCTGCTGGTTTTGTGTTGCTGATGAGGAGCGAGGCGTTTGCGTGTGCATATGTGTTGCTTCTGCACACAGCCCTACGCGAGCCCTCTCTTAAATCACGCCACAAAACACAAACAGCAACAACTTCTCGGAGGGAGGCCCGCGCTGTCATGGTAACAGCGTAGAGTGACCTTCAGAGGCTGCGGATGCTCCCCAGAGCCGCCTCCTATTCTGCCTGGCTTGGACTTTGTGAATCATCAGCAGCATTGAAATTCACATTGCTCCCTCTCTGGAGGTTTGGGCTTATTAAAATGGATGAGCAAATGTGGAAAAATGATGGACACAGCAACAACGAGGCCACATTTTACTGTAATAATTTAAAAAAAAACATTCAGGTGTGAAATATCATGTACAATATTATGGGGGTTGCAGCAGGTTGTTATGTAATGTGTGTCCTTTTCAACAAGAGACGCATGAGGAAGGGACTCCAACCAACCACAGGTGGGACATGAAATTACATCTTTCATGACAAGGATTCCAGATTCCCAGACTGGCGAATATTTCATGAGGGTGTTCAACCAGGGGAGATTGCCTCCAAGGATCACTGAACACAAAAACCTTTTATGATGGGCTGAGGCTCCACTGCACGCTGGGGACGCTGCCACCCGCTGGTGAAGAGCAGGAATCAGGCGCCGAAGCGAACCAACGGCAGAAGATCCTGGTCCTGTTGGGCTGAAGTCTTAGAAATAATGCAAAAGTCTGTGACAGTCAAAACAGTTCAGGGGTTTCCATTAGTTTTGTGGCTGTTTCTCAGCATTGATGATTGTGACTGAACAAGACAATTATGCATTGATCTGGAAATGCACTTCCAGTTGCCTTGGAAAGCGCTCTTGGATTAGATCACTTCCTCACCAAGAGACAAACTCTTACAACCCACCAAACTCGACCTTTGACCCAGCGATGAGTAACAGAGCAACAACAGTGTGTAAAACCTGCATGTTAATGCACCTAAAACGCCTTAAATTTAAGTTACAATATTTGTAAAACTACTGTTTGTCACTTTTATTGTCACAAAATGACAATAAAAAAATCTCACAAAGCATTATAGTATTATTTACCCAACAGGATGTCATTGTCTTAGAAAGACTAAACAGTTTAGCACATATTTTATTTTCAAACTTAAATTTAATAAAATAATTAGGTTGCTGGAATTACAGGTGCCCCAGGGTTAATAAGGACTGATTAAATTAAACCCCATGTCTTATTGGAAATAGAATAAGGAGGGACATTTTCAATTAATATGAAATGTTAGTGTAAAGTTAGTTAGTGTAATGTTAGTGTAAAGTTAAAATGAAATGCAAGTCAAAGGACATTTTAAAGTACATTAAACACCATATGTGAACCAAATGTGTAAAGAAGACTCAAAATAAATGATACTTTTGCTGAAATAGCATAACCAAAATGAAGAACCTTAATTTTGGGAATGTCATCAGATTAAATAGAAATGCTATTTTGGGAGATAATAGTTTCATTTTTTTGCCTGACTTGTAAAGAACATCATATCTTTGAGTGACTCAAATCTTATGTTTTCTTTGCGTTTCCATTTTGCAAAATGTGTCTGTTATACACAAATTCATTACAAACACTAAAACTTCATAGACCCAACAAATAATTTCTTTGATGGTTATTAAATTGCAAAGGACATATTTCGTTGAATTAAAAAACTAATTTCACTTAAATGTGCCCAATTGTGCCTACTCTTTGTTTTTTAGTGTTTGAAAATGTTAGGAGGAAACTTTAGTGAACCACATTGCTGCAAGAAACGTTAAAGTAACCCAAGAATAGAGCTTTTTTATCTACATTCCTGGCTAAAAACAAACATCAACATCATCATTTTGGCTATAAATATTTCCACATCCCAGTCCTCCAACATTTAGAGACTAAAATAAATCATCAGAAACAACATTTTGCATTCTAGCCTAACAAGCCACATCATGCCATTTGGTAAATGTCAGGCAACTGAACCGTCATCAGTTGATTTTCTCTTTCGTTTGTGAACGTTTAGTACCATGTTGACTTTTTCAACAAAGGGCAGCTCCACATGTGGCTGAAGTTATTCAGGAAAAAGCTTTCACAAAGTGAAGCCTCATTACTGCAGTTTTCCACCTCTGGTGTGATGCCGGTTCTAACAAAACAAATGGTAAAATAAGACAATTTTTTTTTTTAAAAAGCAGCACTTTTATGTTGATCGCTGCTTATATTGGAAGCACAGGGAGACATTTAATAAAGCCGACTTTCATCACCAGCTCTGAACCGTCCTTCTGGTTGGAGGTTTAAAAGCTTGGTGGTCATTCTCCCACTGCAGTTGGAGAAATGTACCCGCTGTAATAAAGCAGGGCAGTAGGAAATTGCAAAAAGCGCATCAAGTATCGTTCTACCCATCTGTTTTCCCTCTTTCAGGCATCCTGACCCCAGCAGAGTCCTGTGCGGATGAGCGCCTTCCTGCACCCAGGGACCCTGGAGATGGAGAAGATTGGCCAGAGAACCGAGAACATGAAGCAAACAGATAATAAAATGTTTCCAGGTATTTTCAAGAACAAGATAAGACTTGCTGCTCATTGGTCTCTCAAGTATCAATGTGGAAGAGAGAAGATGGAGAAAGATACTACATACATGCACCGTCTTATATCCCAGGTAATTACTGAACTCAAATGTGGCATTTAGATGTTTTTTAATGTTTATATGTAGCAGTTATAAAGCAACTAAAAATGTTTCTAAAATCCATCAATTTAATTTGCATGAATCGAGGGAAGAAATTTGTTATTGTGGGCAACAGTTTAAAAGTTTTGTCACAGATTCAAATGGAAATTTATACCTGGGCTTTGACTAGGCACTTTTAACACTTATAGTATAATCTAAAGTAGTCAGTTGTAGATCTAACTGCACGTTGAGTCTATTTGTCCTGCTGGACGGAAAACCTTTGACAAAGTGTGAAATAATTTACAACCGGTCCTGAGTTTTCAGCAGTCTGAGGCTTTTCAAGGAAAAATAGATGCACTGGCCTTGTATATCAAAATGAAAAACCTATTTGTGAACATTTGTTATATTTTGCAACGGTCGAGCTAAATTGCGGCTAATGGGAATTTTCTCTATTACGAATAAGTTGGTTCAGTAAGAAAACATTTAGCGTTCAGAAGGTCGAGTCAGGGGTCAGGCAGCAAAAAAGTTTGCGCCACACAATAACAGACCAAGTGAACATCGCTAGCTTCGTAAGGTGCGCTGAAAGGTCGAAGAGATTAGAAAAGGGCTTCATTATCACAGCTCACTCTCCATTTGTCATCTTAAAATGCATCAAGTATGAAGGTCAGGAGCCATTAACGTCCAGAATTGCATTCAGGGTCAGCTTGAGGTCATTTCTATTGTAGGACCTACATCTTCAATAGGAAGAAAGAGCAAGCAGGAGTTTTTCTTATAACTGAACCAATTTTCCTCAAGTTATTCACAATTTGTGTTTTTCAGCTCAATATGAGGGTGTATGTTTAACGAGTTGGTTAACACTGATTATTGCAGCTTTTCTATAAAAATCAAGGCTTATATTTGTATAACTTTTTATTGAAACTAAATGACTTGGAACGGCCCAGAAGCAAGTGGTGAAATCTCAAAGACTTGGGGGGAAAAAAAGAAAAAAACCCAAAAAAACTGACATTGAAAACTGTTCTGCTGCAACTGAGCTTGATTTTCTTTAAAAGGTTTTTTGGTTTTACTCCAAATAAAATAAATTTAAAACTCAATATTTACACACAGCAGATAAAGATATATATTATACACACATTAGATGTTTGTTACAAACTTAAAGTGGAAATGGAAGATGAGTAAATGTCTGTTAATGTTCCCAATGCTTCTGTGTGCATCGTCTTTCCCAGACCATACCGCAACTTGATGCAAACATTTTCTTGAAAAGCTTAAAATAACTCTTCAGAGAAGTGCTGACAAACCATTTCGTCACACGAAGAGAAACCTGTAATTTACCGAGCGATGATGAGACTGAAAGCATTGTGACAGTGTCTGAACTTCAGTGGAGGTCTGATGGAGCTGCTGAGAGCTGAATGGCAGCTTATCGTGACTAACCAAAGGCAAATATGGATTGTCTGTGCCCTCTGTGGCTATTCAAAATGACAAACCTCGCAACTTTCCATAAAAATGCTAATAGGGATTACGCAGAGAGCCTCCAGCACTTTCCAGCCACAGAAAGAGGCCATTATCTGGAAATTTAGTGAACATTAGTCAGATACAGATTCTCCCCTCCTTGCTCCGTCACTAGGTGGGGGAATTAATGCGCTTCAGTTGCATAAAAAGTGAGATAGGGCTTTTTAATGTCTCAGATGCAGTCAAGTTAGTGATTGACATGTTGAATCATTATCAGCAGAGAACCAAGAGGAGGAACTAGCCCCCACTACATACACCACCACTACCGTCACATTGCATTACCGACTCAGCAGCACAGTATCATCGCATCGAATTAGCGTTAATGAACACAAGCGAGTCGACTGAGAGAGATAATCAAACTTTTATTAAATGACTTAATCTTCTGTACATGCGTAAAGTAATGGGAAGAGAAATAGATCGGTGATGTTGGTCTATAAGGGGTTGATCTTTCACCCCAAAACGTGTGAACGCATCGCCGCTTTAAGATTACCTGCTGCAGCCAGGAGCTTCCTGGAGTAAAATCATCTGGAGTAAAAGTATTCATACCTATTTTCATACTTCAGTTGTGAAGTAGAGAGAAAATTATGTGTGGATTTCTAACATATTTATAGGACAAAAGTTGAAAAGTGTGGCAGGCATTTATTTGCATTCAGCTCCCCTTTTCTCTGATAACTCTAAATAAAATCTAGTAAAACCAAACTGTCTTAAGAAGTCAATAACCAGATGCTACAGGTTAAATTGTGTAATTTAACCTGTGCATATGTAGTTATTCTTGTACAAATGTTGACTTTTATATTTAGACGAGTGAGTACAAATGCACTCCAGACTTAAAATTTTAATTTGTAAAAACATTTGCAGGACTTTGTGTTGCTCTGTCTCATAAAATCCCAATGACAGATGTTGCTGTTACTGGTTGTGAAGTAACAGAATGTGGGAAAGTTCACAGGTTATGAATGTTTTTGCAAGGCTAAGACTGTCCCTTAACTAAACAAAGCAAATTCATTTTGTTCCAGCAACTCATCACAGGAAGTGGTAATTTTGTGGCTTAGAAACACCCAAAAAAAAAAAAAAAAAGTAAAAATCTGCAGTAACATGTAAACGCCCCAAAAGCTTTTTGACACCAACAAGAATTAATCAAGACGCTAATAAAAGGTGTAAAGCTCAGCGTCTTCATTTCATTTGGACATATTTACAAATTTAAAGAGGCTCCTGCTGGATTTAAATGCACCAAAAAGTTATTAAATATTGTAGTAACTGGAATGCCATTTATTTAAGAAAGCGCCAGGCTTCAACAAGTTTGAAAGAAGGAAAGGCAAAAAAGTTTCATGCACTTCAAGGCACTATGCCCACTTTGGCTGGTGATACTGAATGTTTAATTTGGTCCAAATGCTGTAGAGCCTTTTTTTAAAAAGATTTTGTGACAGATTTTCTGTAACTAAACAGGTTTTCTTGTGCCTAGTTATTCCAGCACTTACATTCAAAGTTTATTTCTTTTAAGATATTGACAGAAATCTTGACAGTGAGCAATCTAAACAGGCTATGTACAATACATTTACATTAAATACGTATAAGATGACAGACAACCTCCACCACTCAGCCTAGATTTCACAACAATTGGTATACATGTATTTTTTTTGTTTATAACTCTCAAAAGGTTTTAGGTCAATTTGCCCCGTTTTGTCATTTCATACCAGTATGTACCACTTCACCCAATGCTATTTAAATTTTAACTAAAGCCACTGGGCATTGATTTATACTTCTTTATTATTTTTAGAAATTTAAGACAAATGATCATGAACTATAAAAATTGTATTCAATTTAAGATGTCCTGAAAATTCACATTACATATTAACTCCTTTTATTCTGGTTCTAATTCACAAATGAAGATCTACACCTATAAAATATTACATAGTATAAGCAACCACTACGGTTAGATTACAGAAAATGACAATCATAACATCTATTTTTCGGGTATGAAAAGGAAAAAGTCAGTATGTAACATCCAATTGGTTCGGTAGCTGAAAAATGGAGGGATAAAATGGAAAAGGGGGCAAATGACCAGCATTCGACAAGACGGATGATAAGCTAAAGTAATCTACACCAAATGAAACAGATGCAAGGCCATGTTGTAGGATCTGACCTCCAGCAGGAGATCGGGGAGACGGAGCGAGTCGCTGCTTCAAGTCTGGACCAATCGGAGCAGCTCTACCTTGTCAGCTGTCCCACCACTTTCAGCAGAGTCTTGTTCTCTTGTTTGAGCTGCTCATTCTCATCTTCAAACTCGTCCAGGTCCTGTAGAGAGGACATAGCACACCACTGTATGTACCTTCTACATGAATACTCCACACACAACCTCTTTATTACTCTGCCTAGGTTGAAGTCTGAAAGTTAAAACGAGGTTTACTCTGCAAAAACTGAGGCCGTCTTGATAGCAGCAAATTAGCCATTGACAGCCTCAATTAGTTGCGAATGACGGCGGCTCCAAGTTGCAACAGTTCTCACTTATCAAGCTGACAGTTCTCATTTATTCTCGCCTCCATCACCGCCTCTGATTGTGTTGTTGTTGAAAATGAGCTGAACAACATTTGGAGGAAATTAAAAACTTATCCTAAAGGCATCTAATCTTTACCATGGGACTTTTTTTCTTTTGAGAACAATGCAAAGGAAGTTGTTTTCAAAGAAACCTGCAAGAATTAAAATTCAGATGTTTTTATTGGGTAACTTTGCACAAACATTGGACCCCCTTTTTTAAATGCATTGACCTTCTAAGAACCCAGCCTTATAATGAATGTTGAAACATTTCTGAAAGTTTGTCAGTTTTCCTTTGGACTCTGGCCACATTTTCCTCAAATTTTCAGGCTCGCACCCGATTACTTTCACAGAAATATTAATTTGATACAATTGTAATATTGTCACTCAGGATGCTGCTGTTCATCCTGATGAACTCCATCAAAACCTAACAGGCTCAGTAACAAAACCTATCACAAAAGTTTAGGTTATTGCTCAGTTGATTATGTCATTTTCATCAAATTATTATTTTATGCTCAATTTTCAACGACAGTTATTAATTGAAGGAGTGAAATATCAACAGTTTTAAAGAGTTTTTGCAAGTTGGAGGCCCAAACTGTTTCTCATTAGAAATATAATCTAATCAGGATAAATAACACACCTCTTTGAACTTTTATGATCTCAAGCTCTCTCGAAAGCTTATCAAAGAGGAGATACAAATCTGCAACCTGAGCGTTATCAGTTTTTTTCCACCCAAATAAACTTCTACGACGTCTGAGGGTTCAATCTCACTCTGCAGAAAGCTGACTGGATCAGCCGTTATCTCCTGCCTGACATGCGGCACCTGCACCAGCTTCGCTCAGAGATATTTCTCCTGCTTCCTCCAGCATCCTTATATAAAACCCTACAGTTATAACAGGATGCGTGTCCCTGTGATGCTATCAGAGCGATGCCTCCTGCAATATTGCATCCTTTGTGTTTACAGATGGGTTGCGTGGCGTCCGTCCTAACAACAAGAGTGGACAGATGATAACCAGGAGACATTCATTCAACTTGCTGCCAAAAATTTGCACATCCCCGACAGCTCCCCAGAAAGAAAATATCAATTTCCTAAGCGTAGTTTAGACATGACAATCTGCCAGTTTTGCTCAGAGAGAAGCCAAAAGACAGATGTTCTGTCACCCAGTCCTTTGGATCAAACAAAAAGCTGGTATTGGGTGAGATACCAGTTGGGGTCGTTGGGGTATTTCGGTAAAAAAAAAAAAAAAGTTTAGAAGGTTCATTAATATTTTTTAGCATTTTGTGGAAAGTAAACAGGCTTTAGTGTGGATATTCTTGATGCACAAAATTTTATTTGTGATCAAATTGATATATAAATTGATTTATTAATTGTAATAAGTACACTTAACATTCATGAGACTCCACCAATTTTAAAAGACACTGAAAATCTGATCAACTGTTCAACATGACATACTTGAGTGCGACCTATCACAACGACTGTGATAGCATATCTACCGAAATTATCTGGCTGATTGTGGATTCATTTGAAAATGAAGATGGCGTTGTATCCTAGAGGGTACGATGAACTTCAAAAACCCTTTTTAAGAGGAGTCCAGCTGTGAAATGACATCTTTCCTCTAAAACAGATGCTGATTGTAATCTTTGCCGTCCCACCAGAGGAAGTCTGACAATGCACTGATTAGCAAGTAGGTACAGTTGTAATTTCATGATCTTTTTGTTTGACTTTTAGTTGTTTTAACTGAATGTAAAATTGCAAAGCAGAGTTGAGAGTGAGATTCATTTGGAAAGTTTATAATCACGTCTTTAAGCAGACAGGTCATCTGTAACTCCTAAAAATCAAGTATTAAATCCGAGGCCTGTGAATAAAAGACTAAAAAATGTTCTGCCTACAAACCCTCAGAACAGTTATACACAATTTCTGCAAAATGCCAAATGACTCTACGGCCTACGCAGGCTACCCACACTTTGCTAAGACAAAAAGACTCAAAATATCAGACGTCTGAGCATATAATAATTACAGTAATAAGGATGTTGGAGGCAGCACTCACCAGGTTTAGCAATTCGATTTCCTCCTTCAGTTTTTCAATGACTTCGTCTTTGTCCTGAATGACATTCACCAGCCTGGACAGCTCCTGGAGCAAAGCAGCCAAAAAGAAGGTCAAAAAGAATCAATTCATCCAGAAAGCTTTGTAATTAGTAGGTTCACTAACGTGGGAAAGATGTTATACATTTGAAAATAGTATATAAATAATACAGTTACAAATTTTGGGTCAAGCAATTGTCATTTGCAAGTTCTTGTACTAAGGACGGAAGGATGGATTGACATAAACATTCTCATGTTTTGTCTTTTATTACAATAATAGAAGCAAAGAGCAATAAATCTTAATGCTAATGGGAAAAATAATTAGAAAATTTCTATTTTTATTTATTTTATTGGTCTTGGAAAACTTACATTATTGTTTTAGGATCATTTAAATATTCAGTTCCCTACAATATCTGAAAAAGCAATTTATTTCCTCAAAATTGTAAGTAAAAGTGAGTCTTAAAATGTCCCTTTTTTCTTAGCTTGAAACAAACTATTTCTCTTTACACAATAAGAACGTGGGATGGAGGCTCTGAACACATTAGATTAACATTTTTAACTCTTCCTTTTGTTATGTTAATGAACTCAAACCATTATTTTCACACTGTACTTTTTCTGGTGCAGATAGATATGACATTGTCTCCATAGTGACCGAGTGGAGGTGCAGAAAATGGTAAAATATAATGAAGACGATGTAAATGTCAGAAAAAAATCCTTTCAACCATTATTTTAAAAGAACATGACAAAGTCTTTGATCTCCCACAGAGACACCTGAAGAAATAATTCTTCTTTAAACCAAAGCACGACTAGAAGCTAGAATCTTATTAATTTCTAAAAGTTTAGCTTGTTTGATGTGATCCGTCTCGAGGTTATTTGTGTTTATATGCAACATTTATCCAACGAACGTCTGCATACTTTGTGTGGGAGTCTTCTGTCTTCTCCAAGGATCTAAAAAGGTAAAATCTCAGACTATCAAGCCGGTCTATTTGCGTGGAAGTGTAAGAAACAACCCACACCAAAAATAAACACTGCTTCCAAAGCACCTTCAGTCATTTGACCCTGAGAAAGATGTCTCGCTGAAGTCAGGGAGGCCAGAGCGGTACTTACTTTAAAAATCTTTTTTCCAAAGCCACTCGTGTGACATTTGATTCTGAGTGGAGTTTTTCCACTGTGGAAGCAAAAGACATGTCTGCACTGGTAAAGGGCATCTCTTCCATCAACAGAGACGATTTCTGCCAAAGTTTTTAGGCAGGAAGTCAAAAATTCGACAGTTGCACAAAGATCTCAAATGGGATCATATCCTCTGAACAGAAGAGCTCTTTTTATTGAGTTGAACAATCCGGTTTTATTTCCAGAGCAGGGAAACACAGAGGATCCCATTTTTATTAGAAATATCACAGAGTACGACGAGATTAGGGGTGAGATGCGGGGTCTTTGCTAAATTTCTTATTGCGATTTGGGCTCTACTGTTCTATTTTTTGTCTTGTTTTATCCAGGTGTGACAGGCATTTTATTAAGATGCAGTTATGTAGAGAAAAGACCAGCAACTACCACTGTGACTGAATATTGTGGAGTTCTGCATAAAAAACCCAGAGTTGAGCCCTAAGGCATAATATTATTATAGGGCTGCATGATTTCAGGGAACATTTCTCAATCAGTTTTGATTTCAATCATCATTTTGTGACTCTTTAACAAATAAAAAATGCTGTAGTAATCAGAGAGAACCCACACATGCAAACTATATGTAGGACTTTTTTGGGGCATAGTAACAATGTGAAACTAATTTAAATCTGATTAGCAGGCTGCTTACAAGATAAAGAGGGGAAGATGTGCTTGAGATCATCAAAAGAAAGTGTGTGGCAAGCAAAATCATCTATAAACCTTCAGTGAAAAAAACTGTATAGATTTTTTTTCACCCATTTGTGTTGGTCTATCATACGATCTCATTAAAATACACAGAATGATAATAATCCACCACCTGAAGCAAAGTAATATCACACTTGTTTGACAGGAACGGAACAACAAACTCTGTCCTTCAGAGAGCAGGCAGGGAATAAAACCTGCCAACAGGCTGGTTCACCTGGAGCATCAGAGCAGATGCTCACTTTTCTCACCTTTTTCCTTCAAACCTTTGGATATTGTCAGGCTCATATTTACCTGCATTTGTAATGACAGGCAAAACATTGCTCGTGCTTCTGTGGAGGCGAAGAACAGCAGCTCAGACTATGTACGTACCTTCTCCAGCTCCTCCACCCTCTTCTCCAGATTTGCACCTCCACTCTCTCTGCTGTGACGGTTTTCTCGCTGTCTGATGTTCCCACCAGCCTCCTCTTCCATCCCCTGCCTTGCAGAGCTGTAACAAATTCAAACAGGCCATATTTAAACCTTTCTCAACTTCATGTCCTTCATGAAGTTCTAAAAAAAAGAGTGACATTTAGGTCTTATTGTCTCCATTCAGAGGCCGTTTGAAGGTATGAATCAGAGGCACATTATTAAACTTCAATAGGATGACACATCTATCATCAAAAGAACAGGTGGGAATATCTTCAGCATATTTGCACTTCTTTCAATTAGGCTTGAATTATTAACAACCCCTGTGCTTCTTATTCTTTTAATGGTGAAGAGAAAGATGAGGATTTTCAATGTTTGTGTAAAAAGGCTTCTGATTAACAAACATTTCATATATTTCAGCTTCAAAAGCCTCCTGGAGTGGCAGCAGCCAACGTGCGTCACTGTTTTTAAGTTGCAAAGAAAATGGATTTAGAGGTTTCTGAATTAACCAGACAAACAATCTTGAAAATAATTATGTGCAGTTTGCTTTCCTTTTTCAAATAATTACTGACAAGGGAAAACTTTAATTGCTTTCTCTGCAGAAAGCGACCAGTTTATAAAATTCAATTGTCAACTTTAAAAACTATTACAATCAGACATTTAACTATTTAAACTTTTCAAATAAATCTGAAAAACCGCAACATTGGAGCATATTTTTGATTAACTTCTAACCACAACTTTTGTGATAATTTAAACAGGAATCTTGATTTTTAATGGTTTTAAGGAAGTATGTTTAGTAAATCAGTGGATACGTGTGTGGGGATACACAAATGAGATTAATAATGATAATAATAATAATAATGATTTGTAATCATTTCCATTCACCTGTGTGCCCTGAGGGTGTGCAAAATGTTACAACAGGAAGATCTATTAGAAATTACAGAAAATGTAACATTTTATTGACTTTGCAAACAGCATATCTGCATGAATCCTTTTACCAGCTCATTATTTAGTATAAAATCCAAAACTAAAAACTGAAATCTCATTAGGTTAACATCATGTTTTGGTTTTCAAGCCTTCAGCAACATTTATCATGCACAGCAGGTGTTTTTCTATACTATGACATTTACACAGCCAACAGCTCTTTTTTGTTCCTTCCTACAAAAAAAACAGAGATTGGAGAATCCATTGCTTTTGATCTAAGCGGAGTTCTTGAAGTACTCTCTCTTGTACTTCTCTGCACCCAGACATGGTGCATTTCCTTTGTCTCTTTTCTTCGTTTAAAGTGTATGAGCATGCAAAAAAAAATTATCTGAAGCTCAAAACAAAAGGCATACCTTTCATATACTTCTTCCTGTCCATGGTGCCCAGAAACACCCAATAAAACCAACAAGGGTTCTCCAGGATGCACGGCAGGGGCTGAGCCTGAGCCTAAACATCCACGGCCTCGAGACTAAATATCACACCGTGGCCCATTAACACCCCACAGAGTTCGGTCTGAGAGAGTGAGAGGCAGAGCCAATCACTCACTCCTGGGAGCCTCAGCAGGAGAGAGGGCTGGAAGCACAAACAGGAGGGGAAGCAGCAGCAGCCACAGGTATACCAGCATCTTTCCACAAGCTCATGTATTGATGCAGAATAAGACATATCTTCACTTGAAGCCACATGACTGAGTATTAAAGCGCTGGATTTGCAGGCTGCTCTCCTCTGATAACATTAAACAATCTTTCCATTCAGAGCTCCAAAGTTAGAAAATGACTCAGTGAGGTCATTTAAATACTACAGCGTACCAAATAAAACATGCTTTTCACCTAGCAGGGTGTTCGCCACCCCATCATGGGTAACAAAGCTGAGTTAGTCAATTTAGCAAAGGTAACATGGGTCACAAATTTAATGGGAATGCATCCAGAATGCCAGTCCACATACGCAGCCACTAAAAGCTTAGTAGAAGTGCAAACAACGACCAACTAACGTGAAACATGTTTATGCTAAGCAACTAGACAGAATTGACAACAAAAAACACTGATTTCAACACAATAACACCAAATTATGATTCTTATACATTATTGAGAAGATTACAGCAATAAACTGCTGGAAAGAAATAGGCACTGCTTTTATTTTACTGTGAATATAATCAATGCAAAAAACATTTGTGGGTTTTCTTTGGACACACTCTTGTTTTTGTTGATCTGAAATATTTAAGAGTGACAAATGTGCAAAAAAGGAACAAATCTGAAGGTGCAAATCGATTAATATTAAATTTTTTTCTCAATGCTTAGTGACATGATTTTTAGTGTCAAGATAAGTGCAGCAATTAGACATGTGGGTGTGTTTTTTTGGAGACTTATCACATATAAATTGTTAGATTTTCAATAATGACAAAAAAAAAAAGTAAAAGTTTGTATTAGAACAACACACTTTCCAACAGGAACATTTTAAAGACAGTAAATTAGAGTGTTTTGTATTGTTGCCCTTTTAGCCGTCTTGTGCGGCCCAGCCCACCTGGCAGGTTATCTGTTGCAGAATTGCAGAGCATCCAAGTGCAGCCGGGCCAGCTGATGGGGCAGAAGCCATAATTACACAGACAGATTGAATATCAGCTTGAGAAACAGGCTCAGGGTTGGACTAGAACTGCTCACTTTGATTGCACAGACAGCAAAACAAATACTGCATACTTCATTATCAAGTAAAATAAATAATTGAGTTTTAATGATATGTGTGAAAAAAACTATACAGGAAGTGAAAATATGTGTGCAAGGAAAGGAGCCAAAACTGTTGTTTGTCGACTTTGAGAAGACGTTCAAAAGCCTTTCATCAAATGCCAGAGCAAAGCGACATCAAACTGACCCAGTCATTTCCCACAAAACCTTTCAAAGCAAGCCTTTTACTTTCAGCACTCCATGTCTGCCACAGCGGGGAAGTGAAGGCCTGAACAAAGTGTCATAGGTCCAGATGGTGTCCTGTCAGCTACTGTTCACAAAACAGCCATCAGCCATCATCCTTCTTGAACCATAACAAGAAGCAAGCTGCATCGAGGGAGGAAAACTCTGAGAAATCAAAACAGTCCAGCAGTTTCAGAAAAAATCTGGCAATCATTATCTCCAGGCTTCTTTTCACTCACTTGACAGATTCGTCAAAAATGACACTTTAGGCCTAATCAAAGTCAAAATATGAATCTCACCTCTTAAAACGTCCAGAAGCCGCTTTAGGGGTTTCCTGTAAAACAAATGGGAAAAATTATGTTTAATTTGCATACACAATGTATTAACAGAAAAATATAACTGCTCGTTCCATCTGCCTACGGATGTGTTGGCTCACCCTGAGAACAAAAAGACAGCCAAAGAAATAAGAGAAATTCATCAGGAGAAGCATTTATAAAGAGCCTTAAGGTTCTGCATGAAAGTTCAAAAGCAGCAGCTGCTGAGCTGAAATAAATGGGCTTTGTTTCATTTCATAGTTCACCACAAACTCTGTAGCCTCAAGTTGGAAAAGGCAATTTTGTTTTGAAACATGGAAGAGATGTTTTTTTCCCCTTATTTTCCCATTATCGTATAATCTAAAAAAGATCTAAAGATTGTTTAGATCTATCCAGCAGTGAGTGGCAGCAACGCCTTCAGGAAATCCTCGCTTTTGAGAAAAATGAAGTATGTGCTGCAGGTTCTGGGAGATGAATGCAGATCTCCTCTTTCCTGAGGTTCTGTGCAGTGAAGGGTCCCAAGGTTGATTGAAGAGCCGTTGTTCTGCTAGACTCCATTCATCACTGCAGCCATCTTTAAGACTGACATGTATGTTACCTGCAGATGAATTGTGACCTTCACCTCTGACATATAAAAAGATTTGTGCAATGCAGCGTCAGAGCAACAGGACCACTTCAGAAAAAGAAATGAATTTTTACAACATTTTTGGTACATTTCCAACAAAAACATAAGCTTAGTTTCAAGGAGGTGGATTTTCAATACTTTTGATACTTTGATACAGCTGCAGAAAACAAAAATTCATGTTATGGTTACCTGAAAAATTAGTAGAGATAAGAAGAGTTACACAAAATGTAGTAAATATGTAAGACTTAATTTTTCCTATTTTTATTATGTGCCTTGCTTTGACATTAATACACTAGACAAAATATTATTCAGCTTTATGCTGTTCTACTTTAAGAGGCTGAGCTTTGTTAAACGCCATATAATGTTTTATATTTTAGGTTCATTATTTTTTTCACATATACCTACAAAACACGTCCACTGACTTGTTTACCTCAATCAAAAAGACTGATTTCAGTAAATATGCTGTCTAAATGTAAATGTGTTTACTGCTATTCCTCCAAACAATGGCATATGTTGAATAAAGTATGAAAAAAAAAAGAAATATATCCCTCCTGATCCGAGCTTGAATCGCCTCCTCTAGCGTTTCTAAGCTAATTTGAAACAGAGGTAACATGGAACAGAAATTAATCATTCACAAATGCAAAAAGTGAAACCGTCTGATTCTGCCAGGATTAAACTTATAAATCACTCTTTTAATGTGTTTTCCATAACTACTTGAAATCAGACGACAAGATTAAGGAGATCAAACTTAAAGTATTTTTCTACAAACAATAGTTAATGTGAACCGTGCACCGCTTTAAACTTTCAAAACAACAAAGACAGAGCATACCCCGCCACCCAGGAGTTTTTATTACAAAAACAAAACATCAAAATTTCATACTTCTCAGTCATTTTTGTCATAAATACATTGATGAATAATAATAAATATGTAACCTGACCTGGAAAACTGACAATTCTCCTTTTAACGCAAAATATTTTTCAAATATGGCCTAATGAGCAACCTTAAATAAACAACACAAACACTCCTAACCCCTTTTGAGCACTTTAGGGGTAACATTATAGTTTGTTTGTTCCTCCAGGTGTGAAAGTTTTTTATGTTTTGCTGCAGGCCTAATTCCATGTTATCGCTTCTACAGGATCTATATTGCAGAAATTTATATTAAAGTCAAAAGGCAATTTGAAATAGATCAGGCCTGAAATAAATTTGAAAATAATCAACAGTCAACCTAGTTGACCGAGACACAATTTTTACCCCAGTTTCACTCATAAAAATGTTTCCAACCACATTAATTTACAGACTATGACTGGTGAAAAGTAGCACAATCTAAATGGAAAACACTTGTTACCAAAACACCTCCCAAATTTTATTTGCCACATCATTAAACAACACTTTTAAACAATTTCCCCTTTAACACATCGGCCAGGTGTAGACAAGGTTTTGTCAACCTCATGCGCTTTGACTTTATTCATCATTCCTGGGCTGAGTTGACAACTTCACATGCTTCAGACACAAACATATCTGTAAAATACCTTCTACACCAATACAGCAAAAATAATGTTTATCTCTGCTCTGTCTTTTTCATTTTTCTTGAGGAATTTAATCATTTCAGTAGGAAAAGCCTAAACAAAATGCATATGTGGCTTTTTCAAGAAGAACAAATGCTCTGATGATGGGAGATATTTCCTGGCTCCTAAGAGAGGAAAATGTGAATTTAAATGAAAACATTTGTAGGTTTTTGCTGACATTTACTCAACATTTACTCTGAAAACATTAATCTGATTCTTCTGTGCCTTACTGAGCTTAAAAAAAAAATACACCTTTAAGTGCATCCTTTCCTCATAGATAGAAATTTTAAAGCATGAATCATAAAAATCACATAAAAAGACATTTTCAATTTGCTGAAAGAAAATTACTTTTTCCTGTTCAAGCAGTTTTATGACAAATTGAGCCTTTTGAACAAAGTCACTCTGGTTTCGAGTTTGACGTTAACTGAAGAGGTGGAACATTGCACACAAAAAAACAATCTCTTCTGACACAGTGTAATTCATGCAGCAGTGGTAACGAGTTGATCGAGCCAGGTTGGCTGTCAGACCATTGAAGCAGCAGCGGGTGTTTGTTAGCATAAAGTTTTACATTTTAGAAAAATAAATGTCATTTCTTTTTTAGTTCTATGCATTTCTTAATTACAGATCGGCTTAATAAATCAAAACTGTCTCCAAATATTCCACAATATTTAGCTGCAGCTGCAACTTATTTTCCTCAGTGTCTGAGCCAAATGAGAAATATCATATGTCTCTATTCTGACTTCTATTCATGTCCTCTGACAAACTGCATCCTCTTAACATTTTGACAGTGACATTAATATAATGCAGTTACATCAATATGAGCACAACACAAATATTATTAATTTAGGAAAGTTGAGACTTTTACCTGCTTCCATTCACTGCCACTGTGTAACACGACCAAAGCCCGTCTGATATAAAACACACTGATGAAGTGGGAGCATTTACATAGTAACTGGGTGGAACAGGAGAACGAATTACTTCTAGTTTTACATTTAGTTTTTGTTACAAGCAGGCATGTTGCTGATGCAAGTCAGAGAAAATTGATTTTCCAAGCTTCCACAAGACAAACAGGATTGATCCTTAATTTCACAGATCACCATGAATCCTTGTTTTGCAAACATTTGTAGAAACTAGTGAATTCATCATTTGAGAGGCTATTGTGCTTCTTCAATGCAAAAGATTGGTGTTGCTTATAGAACATCAGAAATAAATACAGCAACCATTTATAGTTACAAGCCTAAACCCAGTTACAAAGGAAAAATGGTCAAATGTATAAAGTATATGTATAATGCCCACATTTCTCATTAGCCTACTTTCATTGCTCACAGTAAAGATAAGTCCTTTAGCTGTTATTCAGAGGTGTGAGTAAGTATTTGTTCAGACAGAAACAAGAAATGTGATGGGAAAAAAAGAGCTGCTCCTGTAGGAAATGTCACATGATTGATGTTGAATAATTCTGTTTAAATCTGTTCTACAGCAGAACGGAGAGGCGATAGTTAAAAATGCAGATGAGGCTTGTTGAAAAGAGCTGCATTTAGAGAGTCATCACTTTATCTGCTCCGGGTTGAGAGTGAGACAGACAGACAGACCTGGCGCCACTTTAAAAGCAGGTAATCCTGAGTTATGTTCCATATGTTGGATCTTTTTCCTTTTTCTTCATGTAGGACTTGCAAAGCAGAGCAGGGGTAAGGCTGGTTAAGCAGGACCACAAGACTGCAGAAGGATATCACAACACATGAAAAAACACGGATAAGAATCATTTTTTCATTCTCGCAGACAAGACTTGGACTTTCTGTTATAAACAAGAAAAATTACGGCTTGTTTTGTTTGGAATAAATGCTCTGAGACCTGGAGAGACATTTAAGAGTCAGATGCAGCTCTGTAAAAAATCTGAACTGAGAATCTTTTGAAGACTTTTCTTCCTCCAGATATCTTCATTCCAGCAAGCAGGTGAAAACTGTATATCATAAGACTGCTGCCACGGCAATCACTCGTCTCGTCATGATACAAGGAGTTCGACAGGCACGGCTATTTTTTTAAGCTTCTCTTACTTCACATGTCAGTGTGATAGCTGTGTAGGGAAACCACAGTAAAAATGAATCCCTGCTGCTTATGGAGCAAGCTGTCAGAATAAAAATACATGTTTTAAAAATCAGTGACAGCGACATATGAATGGATATGAAAGATCCTGTACATCCACATCTGGCACATACATAAAGGTGTAAAAGGAAGTATAGAAAGAATATCCTGTTTTAAGTGACAATATCAGAATTAAATTGCAATCTGTCAATGTTTGCTTAAAAATATACTGCAGACCATGAAAAAGTAATCTGTGCATTAACTGTATTTTGTCCCAATCCCTTGGCTTTTGGATCTTCATTCCACGAAGCAATGATGATTAAATTCATTCAAGTTTTTTCTTGCTTTTATGGTGCGTCAAGAGTGTCCAATAAGCCGGAAAAGGAAAAAAATAGCTAGAGCGATTTTGACGCCTTCAACGTGCCTCCATGTTGACTTTGAATGTAAACCTGACGTGTGAAATGGTAGGTGTAGAGCAAAATGTACCATACGTTTTACACGTTCCTGATGTCTTCTCTTCTAGATCAGATGCGTGGGAAAACTCCTCGCTGTTTGTTTACAAATGACTAAATAGCCAAATTCCTTACTTTTGATTATTGGTTTATTTTTTTAATCAAAGCCACAACTCAGCAGGTGCTGTCACAATTTTCCTGTTAGCATGTTATTCATGTGCATATTTCATACACAAGCCTCTGCTTGCTATAAACAGCCTCAGACAGTTTCTGCCCAAAACAAAATAAGCCCACTGATGCACAACAGCCAATCCATCTGGAACGTGACTACAACCTTCATCCATGCAGAGTCGTCACACAGCGGAAGATTCTTCTTTAAAACAAAAAAATAGAAAAAAGAAGGCCATTTTCATGTCAGTCAGAAATAAAAGAAAATACTTTCTTTATCATTGTGACACAGCGTGACGCATTTCAACCCCCCTCTCTGTGCTCAGCCTCCTTTTGGAAATCATTGTGTTCATTTGGAGCTGGTGTGAAGTTAGATTGCATTTTTGTAGAACATAAACTGCTCTAAAACATGACTGAAATGACAAGTATTTCATTTTCCACTAATTCACTTATGTTTTCATTTTGCAGACCATTTATCAGAATTAATATAAGGAAGAGCATTCTGCCTCTGCATGGATTCCATCTGAATAAAATAATCACACTGCTGGCTGGAAAGCCAAGAAAAAAAGACAGACATCATAAGGAGCAGAGCTGAAAACAGGTTCCCAGATACAGTCTGTTGCTCAGTTGTTGTTTTTTTCCCCCCAAATACCTGGTTGAAAAATATTTCACCACCAAAACTTAAACCATTTTAAACGGCATTTTATGGTTCTTCATTTCTCTTTCAACTGGAGTTGTCAGGGATGATGAAATGCTGAGACACCTATGTCTTTTGAATCACGACTTTCTTTTCACACAAACTCTGCTGAGCTCTGCCAGCGTCTTCCTGTGCAACAGTGCCTCTGTTTGGCAGCACAGCAGTAACAATCTGCGCCGTGCACCGGCTGGGAATAGACAAGACATTCCTCCCCTGCGTCTGAAGCTCTTACCAGTAGGTAGCCGGTGGCCGGGTCAGCTGTCATAGACTCATTCTGGAAAGTGTTGGCCTGAACCAGATCCTCTTCCTCACGTCTGTCTTTTTCTCCTGCGTCGTCATCATCCAGCTCATCCAGGCTCTGACAGAAAAAAAAAAGAATATAAAGAAAGAAATGTAAATGCCTCAGATCATGTCAGTTTGTTAAGACTTTAGCACAAAAAAAGCAGCAGAAATTCTGGGCACGTAGATCATCTTGTTGTATTGAGGTTTAATCTCAGGTTTGAAAGTGCACTATGCCATTGTATGTATTCAAAGAGGAAATGACTGTCCTCTCCTGTTTGTCTATTTGTATAGAAAGTAACCCTTTCTTATTGTTTGTACTTTATCTGTACAAAAATCAGTTCAAACAGGCAAGTTTATGGCTAAATAACACTAGCCTTAGGTTCTTTTTAAATCCTGATGCTAAAACACGCTAAAGCTCACTTGCAGGAATCATCAGCTAATTATACACCAACATAAGATCAACTAGTGAATCAGCAGGAAAATAACCAACCTGCTTGGGGGACTTTTACCTCCTGGAGGCAGGCTCAGGGGATTTTTTAAAAATATGAGTCTGTTTTAAAAACAATAAACAGCTTGTACAAACATGCAAAGAACAAACATCCTTTTGAAAGAAAAGAAAGGCATTTAGCTGAAAATATTCAGGCAGAGATCTCAGATAGCATCTGGGAAACTCTCCAAATTCACTTCTGGTAATATGGATTATTTTCTCCATCTAGAAATCTGTGCAAGAGCTCTGTTTCTAATTCCATCCCTTCTGAGTCAACACGGTCACAAAGTTGGAGTGTCCAGACAGAGAAGTGATGGATAAAGGCATTCCACAAGGAGATTTACATAAGGATGGGGGCCTGGATCGTGACAAGAGGTTGAGATTGAGGCCACAGTCTTGGAGGGTCATGATTTAAATCAGCCTTTTCTGTTTCACACTGCAGAGTGAACAAAAGATGCCAGCTCAACAGGCCCTTCAGTGGTAAAAATAGCCTTACAAGGTTAACAAGGAATGCAGTCGTTTGCAGGGCCTTTCCTGTCAAAGCGTTTATCAGTTCTCCTTAGGGAAAATGCCAGCTCTTTTCCTCTTTAGCTGGTTTTATGCTTGCACTGTAGCTTTGCAATGTTCCTCAGAGGATCTGAAGAGGTGGCATGCGGGAAACCAGTGCAGAAAACTTTCCATCAAGGCACCAAGTAAAGTGTCTGAAAAATTGGGGTGGGAAAAAACGTACAAACATGGCAACAAATCTTTATTTCCCTTTTTCTCATATGGTGTTTTCCACTCTCTCATTACCTTGGATACCATCAAATACATGTGGTAATGATATAATCCTAAAAGAACAGCCATCAAGCAGTCTCGTCGATCATTTTTGGCATGTTAAGAACACCCAATGGTTTCCAAACCAAAATCTTTGAATCCTGTGAATGGCTCCTGTTAACAACTGAAAAGGAAAAAAAAATGTTTCACTTTGTATTAAGTAGTTCGATACTGGTTATTCCTAGTGGCCATCTCTGTTGCTGAATCAGAAAGCGCCCAACTGTGATCAGACTTTGCAATGAACATTTCTACAAAAGGAAATGTAGAGTCCCTTAAAAACACAATTAAGATCTGATCAGCTTTTCCTAACTTCAATGGTTATCAATTGTTTCAATGAAGGAAACAGACAGGTCTGAGATACAGCTGTGGGGAAGTTCAAAGTTTATGAAAACACTTGCAGGACACGGTCTGCTATTTTGTTTTTAATTATAAGGATGGGTGCCTTTAATGGTTCTGAAATAAAATGCCACCAATATGTGGGAAACAGGAACTTTTGGGGTTACCAAAAATAATTACATTAAACAGAAGTCTGCTTGTGTCAACACAAAGTGAACTTCTCAGTGACCAACCACTCTGCTATGCACAAACTTCCCTGAAATGTTGAATTGGGGACCTCAACGTTTGTTTTGGACAGAAAGGCAGCTCTCTATTTTCACCCTGTAGTTTTCCAAATTGCTTTGCATTTCCATCTATTCCAAATAAAGGGAAGAGAAATCTGTGTATGCATCCATATAAGGGAATCTTCTACTCTTGAGCTCATCATAATATGTGTATTTTTCTGGTCACTTTTTCACCCTGGGCAGCTGAAATAAGCAGTCTGGGTGCTGAGGGATGATTGTGCAAAGCTTTGACTTTGAAAAATTTAATGTTTTAAAACCAAAAGTCAAGCTAATATTAGATGTTACATACAATGATCTGACAGTTTTCCTCTATTATTCACACATTCTGCACTAACTTCAAGTTTTACTGAAACAAACCAGCATCTGATTTATATTTGAAATTCTGCAAAAATGATCTTTTAATGAGCTGAATATTTGCACACTCAGTGAAACAGCTTAAACGCAGCTTTTTCCACAAAAATGGTCAATCAAACTCCTGACTTAATTTAATTTTGTGAAGTTGGGTTCATGGAATCCAGCTGTGGCTAATTACATAAAACAAAAGCACGTCCAATCAAAACAATGTAGTTTACAAATTCCTGCAATGATGAATTATGTAATAAATGACTAAAAGATAGGCTGAAGTTCTGATAAATGTATATCTATAGACATACCACTGATAACTCCAGAAATGTTGCATTAAAACTTGTTTCCTGTTTACAAAAGCATAGTGTGAAGGCGTTGAAGGAGTTTACATTAGCAGAACAAGGAAAACATTTACCCCGCTTTGCTACGATCTCCATACCCATGTCTGTCGCTCTGCACATGAAAAATGAAAGAAGCTACATCTGGAGCAGAACTTCGCGGTCTGCTGGAATGTCTGTTGTGGTTGGAAACTCTTTGGGGAGGAAAATGATCAGTTCTTTTTATTTTTTTATTTTTCCCTGATGGTTCATCTGTGGCTTGCTGCAAAAATACATCAAACTTTTTCTGCAGGACTGCAGGCTTTACCTTTGTGCTCTGGGATTTCAGTTAAAAATGACGCCAAAGGATGCAACTGAGAACTCAAAGCAGCTCAATACTGATTTCATAGGAAAAGTGACTTCCTGTTTCAATATTCGCCCAGAATTTTATATGCGCAGGTTTTTCACTGTGCAAGTGTCTTGTCCACTTTATCTCAAAATTAATCTCTAAACAAGCCGTGGGCATCTTCAGTGGAAGTATGCTCATGCAGAGGATTTAATGACCGGTGTGCATTAATCACCCGTCACTCACTACAGCACAGAGACTTCATTAGGATGATCCATTAGGAAAGAGATAAATTCACAAGCTGATTAATCACGACTGCCAGCTTCGTCAGGTAACAACACAGATCAAAGTGAGGCCAAAACCCCTCGGAGTTGAAAGATGGACTATAAGACGCTGGTACTACCAAGGTTAGTGTCACAGTTATTTCAAATCTGAATTTATTAGATAAGATGGCTTCATGCAAATACAACATATACAGTTGAAATCAGAACAAAACTCAAAGATTTTTAAAGCTTATTTGTAAAACATTTTCAGAAAGCAGTTTGCGGCTTTTGACTTATTTAGGAGTTCAGTTGCGCAATCATTTGGGCGGCAGAACATGATTAAAAACAAGTGGCATGCGGTGTTTTAAATCGATGTTGCAAATCCAATTTGACTAACAATAAATTAAATACTTCACTAAATAGTGGTGTGACTTTCTGCTGTAGGTCTGGTGCAAGACCTCAGACAGTGAGCAGCATATCTACGTAAGAAAAACTTTAAATTTTTATTTCCATTCAACATAATTTCAATGTGACAGCAGCTGCTGCTGGACTAGACTAAGACTCACCAATAGAAGTGATAGAGGATGACTCTATGTACTTCCATAGCTTACAGGTTCATTGTGATGTAGTTTGCTTACAATATTGAGATGACAATAGATTTTTGATTTACTGCAGACCTAATTAACATCTTACTGACCTGCAAAATTCATGCACTGGAATGTTAGACACCAATAAAAACATTCCAGCAGTACTTTTTGATTGTAATAGTGCACACACCGATGCTGCATTATGCAGGACATGCTGCACCATTATACTTTACTAACAACATAAGTCATATCACGGTTATTCAAAATTAACATTGTTGCTTTTGAAGGTTTTTGATAGTATTTTTAATGAGGTTAAAGCAGAGTGGAGCCGTTGCAAATTCTATAAGGATCCTTAATTTGCTACAGCAAAGATGCAAATATTCCATTCAATCCAAAATGATTTGAACTTCGTCATCTCGGCTTTTGCATCCATGATTTCATTTCCTTCCCTTTGGAGTTGTGATTCAGGCATTATTTGACGGGATGCCAATTAGCTCCCGGTTGTTGAAAAAAAAAACAAACAACAACAACAACAAAAAACTTGTTGCCATGGTTACAGATAAAAACTGCCACAAAGCAAAAAAAGTGTGAGCAGAAATCCTTCCAGCTGCTCCAAATCTAAAACCAGTGGGAATAATTGCAATGCCTCAGCCAAAACAACAGAACAACAGCGGTACTTCGATCTAGAACATCATGCCCATGAATCTTAAATATTAAAGTTAGTTAATGCCATATGTCAACACATCTCTACTAGGCTTAAAGAGGAAATTTGGTCATTTTTCATCCACATCAACATAATATCTTTTGAGATTGTGAATATTTACGTGCAGCTTTAGATCAAAATCAACAAGATCAAAAGATCGTGTCTTTAAAACGAAATCGCAACAGAAAAATGAAGTGCCTAGAGCTCATCTGCTCTCAGATCTCTGCATGACCTCTAACCAGTAAAATATTCAGGGATCAGAATCCCTTCAAGTTCATTTTGAAAAGGATTACATAATTCCCCCAAACAGTACACACTCAGAGCACTGAGAAAAATAAAAATAAAAGCTACGACCTCTGTCTGCACACTATATATATTTACTCTTGCATCATTCAGAGTATAAAACAGCTGGATTCAGATTTACACATATGGATTTTCTATGATGGTGTTTTTTGGGGACTGAGTTAACATGATGCAAAAGGATCAAAATCTGTTTTGGGTTCAAGGGCTGGACAGCTTTCTTCAAAAATGACTAACATAAGAGATTCTAACACAGTTCGACTTTGAACTTGAAAATTGTGACCCTATCTTT